CTGACAACTAAGTTAAATATCCTAAAAGGTGATTAAAAGTCTTAGAAGGTGTTTAAAAGCTCCAAAGCAAGAGTTACGTTATTTGAGCTGAAATTAATTGGACAACAAAAATGGCGCTTGCAGAGGAAACTGAGGAGGATGAGCTGGAGAATAACATGCTTGTGGGAGAATTAACTGTTGAGCAGTCTCTGAAGTTACTGAGAGATGGAATACAGAAGGGAATACAAAAAGGATTTGAAGAGGCTTGTGCGAATATAACTGAAAAACGACTGGATAGTGAAATTAAGGAAGAACCAATACAGCCCAAACAGAGTGTTAAAGAGGAACAACTTTGCCACACCAAGGAGTCGTTTGATGAAAATCAACCCCTTTCCAGTATAGGAGTGGAAAAGGAGACAATGAGGTCATCCTATATAAAGACAGACTTAATAAAAACGAATAAGCAGAGAAGTTCTAGCAAAGAAGAGAGAAAGGGGGGGAGAGAAGCGAAAATGGCGTGCCTGGAAGTTTAAGATGTAATATATAAGGCTGGATATAATATGGCTGAGACACAGAGAGGGGAGCCTAGAAATTAATACACACACACACACACAAAGAAAGAAGACATTGGGACTCATTGATACAATAATGTAAGCTACAAATTTTCAGGAAAAAAATTAAGTTATTTGAAGAAAGAAAGATTATTTCTGTTGATCTATGTTTTATTGGAATTACAAACTTAGGACTTCTGTTATAATGAGATATGGTATTAAGGCACTGAAACTGTGAAAAGTTAGATATTGTGTTATAGAGAAGGAAAGCTAGATATAGACTTATAGAGGGGGGGATTATTAACCTTGATGAAGAGTTAAATGCTATGCTTGTTGGAAAACTGGAATCATGGGGTTTTTGGGTGTTTTTTCTTGTTTTTGTTATGTTGTATGTATGAAGTATTTACTAGATTATTTGTAAATAAATTACTGGATATAGCATGGCTGAAATACAGAGGGGGAAGTTTAGAAGTTTAAAAGTAAACTCACACACATATAAAATAAAATTGGGATTAATATAAAAATGTAAGATATAAATTTTAAGGAGAAGAAATCAAGTTATTGGAAGAATGAAAGATTAACTTTGCTGATTTATGTTTAATTGGAATTATGAATCCAGAGCTTCTGTTATAATGTGATATTGAATAATTGGAGTTAGGGCATTGAAAACTGTGAAAATTAGATATTGCGTTACTGAGATTGAAAGCTAGATATAGAATTATAGAGAAGGGGGGGAAATTAATTTTGATGATGAGTCAACTTCCCATTTTGAATTTATACAAATGAAAATTTCAGTGATATGTATTTCATAAACTGCTGGAATAAATAATGATTAAAAGGGAATATGGCAGAAAGGGGTGAGTAATTAGGTGGGAAGCTAAGCATAAACAGTTGTAGTAAATTCATGCCACTGGTGGATATTTATTTGGGAAAACAAGTATATAATAGTAGTTGCAATAAGATATTGACAAAAAATGTTGAAAATATATGGATAGGAATTCTTCAGAGTAATGAAAAAGGATATTTAGTGGTTAATGACCATCTGAGACGTTGTGAGAACCTTATCAAAAATGTTGACTTTAAATTGTGAAGGTTAATTGGAATATATTTAGTTAAATCTTAAAAGAAGGTCTTTAAATAAAAAAAGCGTGCTCAGTTGCAATATTGTCTAAACTAGTTGTATCGCTGTATACAGGAAACATTGTTATGTTAATGTTTATGTTTGTTTTTGTCTTTGTGTTTATGTTTATGTGTGTGTCTATTATTTCTAAAAATTAAATAAAAATATATTTTTAAAGGCTTTCTATATAATAGTCAACATGCCCCCACCTGTGGATATTTAAATCTGCATATGTGCACATGTAGATACAGAATACATATTTCTACAGATCTGTCTTAGGTCTTTCCCAGTACTACTGTCCTTTACACTTGAAATGTCACAATGTGAGTGTGGAAAGCATGTGCCCTTCACCCCGATCCTGTACTGCTAAAGGAGTGAACCCTACCGCCATCCTAGCATACCACTAAACAAACTTTGAAGCCTTCTTGCAATTTAAGTGGATCTTCCATTGGAGAAAGTCTCCCTAGGCTGCAGGAAAGCTCCTTGGAGAGTGGTCATTATTGCTCATGGTAGACCTTTCTATCTAGCTGATATCAAACTTGTGCTTTCTACAGTACTTTCTGTAGATCATCAGCCAGTAAGACAACCAACACTGATGCAACTGACATGCAGTCGGCTGTCTGCTTAATCTTACCTCTGATGTATATCCATGCCCACCCCTTTACACTAGGCAGGATCCTGCTAATCATTGCATCTATTATATAACAATTATATCACCATGCAAATTGGGTCACATTTCTGGGGAAGGAAAAAGGCAGAAAAGCCATTTACTGGATTTTGAGATTTATTCACTTGAGGTTCATCTCTCAGGTGTGTTGCTTCCAGAAGGAATTTAGCATCATTAATACTGAATCCATCAATGCCCTTGCCAAGCCAAAACTTGATCACGTCCTAAGTAAGAAATTGAGAAAATGGATTTGCTTAACTCGCAAAAGTTGTGTTTTATCTAACACATTTCACACAGTTGTCTAGATAACACAATATGATGTTTCAGGAAAGAAATTGGCCAGAACCTTTACGTGATATAGTCTTAGTGTGAAATGGTATATCCTCTTATATACCATAGAGCAGCTGTCATGATCTCCAACAAGATACCCCTGGGCACAATGGAACGCAGTCATGTATTTATTGGTGCTCAGTTCTTTCTTCCCCAAGGTATATCTCCTCCCCCACCTCTGCCTCAAAAGAGCCTGTCTTGAATTTCTTGCACCTCATTGAAGAAGGAAGAATTTCAGAACAGCCAGGGAATACCACCTTTGTGCTAGCAGAGAGTTCTCATTTGGGAAACAGCTGCCACCTTCATAAGAAGGTGTTTTGCTCTGAACCTCCAAATATTTTGCAGTTGACAACATACCCCATGACAGCCATTTTGTGATAGGTGTTGTCACTACCTGTTCTCAAAAATTCCAAAAAATGTGCAAGCTCAACAAGGTTGGGAACCCCTGTCATGGAGTCTGCACCTCACCCAAGTTTTCACTGTCAGCAATTGATAGCAACCCCTCCCCCACAGTGTCTTCTCCCAGTTCTGAAACTTCTTTCCACCCAAAGTACACTCCAGGTTATATGGCACCATCAGCCGATTTTATGAAACCATTATCTTTCCATGGATTGTACCATTTCAGGTTGCAAGAGGCAAGCTTCATGTCTGAATGCTCCACCACACGAGAGTACTCCCTTCATACAGAAACCTAGCATGTCAGTAAGCAGGCTTAAGCCTTCAATAAGAAGGCTCCCCCCACCACCACCGGTAAGTCTTCGGGCATGTAATACCACCCTGTCTGCAGCCTGTCCCCACCACCACCACCACCGGTAAGTCTTCAGGCATGTAATACCACCCTGTCTGCAGCCTGAATGTACAGTCCTATCCGATTTCACTATGCATTAGTATTTGATCAATTGCTCCAACCCTGTCTTGTCCGTCTAATATACATTGTACTTCTGGGAGCTACAACCTAACAGGGAAGTCAAGAGTCAGGGTCAAACTGTATTACATACAAATGTACGTATTAATGAGTTGTAAGTCATTAAAACAATGCCTGTGGGCCAACAATTAAAAAAGAAAGAAAGAAAAGAAAGAAACACTATAGGCTACTGATTGAATGTCTTTTACTCATTATTAAACACCAAATCCCTACTTAGTATAAAAACAAGTTTCAGTTAATCATATTCCTGAGGACGATACAAACTTCTTAATAATATGGATACTAGCTGATACTCACATGAATTTCTTCTTGAACATTTGGGTTCCGAAAATTCAGATCGGGCTGCTCTTTTCCAAACTGATGGAAATAACATTGTTTTCGAACATCGTCATACTGCCAGCTGGAATTCCCAAATACACTCACCTGATTGCATAAAGAATACTCTTTTTAAATGAGATTTCTTAGACCCATCATCATTAGAATGCTGAACATGAACACATGATTCATAGCTTTCATACTCTTCTAATATATTGCATTATTTGCCTCTTTGTCTTTCGGGGAGAGGGCCCTGGTTGGTCCCTGCTTATTTTAAACTGTAAGAGAGTATCTTCTCTTACAGAGCACACACACCCCCGAAAATAAATTTCAGTCCTGCCCCCTCAGCCCAAAGGTACTCAGGGTAGAGAGCCAATGGGGCACAGTGGTTAAGAGTGTCAGACTAGGATTTGGGAGACCCAGGCTTGAATCCCTGCTCTACCATGGAAGCTCACTGGGTGATCTTGGGCCAGTCACTTTCTCTCAGCCTAACCTACTTCACAGGGTTGTCGTGAGGATAACATGGGGGTGACGAGATTGATGTAAGCTGCTCTGGGCCCCCACTGGGGAGACAGGCAGCGTATTCATGAGTTAGCTAAATAAATACAAAAATGGTTGGTAATAAATGTAAAAATACAATGCATGTCAATGAACCCACCACCCAAACCACAGCAAAACAATCCAAAAGAAGGATAAGCAACATTCCTTAAACCATTTAAAACAGCACAGCAACAAAAACAAAACAGGTTAACTAATAAAAGCTAAAATATAAATTAATCAACAAAATAAAATCCAGTAGAACAAGCAAAAATCTACTGTAACAATAAACTATCTTGATGAACAAAAAGCCTGAGTGAACAAATACATCTTCACCTCACAACAAAAGTCATAGCTAGCACAAGCGGGTTGAGAGGGAGGAGTTCCACAACTGAAGTGACATGAAGTCTCCCTTTCTTCCACTATAGAAGAAGAAGAAGAGATTGGATTTATACGCCGCCCTTCACTTGGCGTCTCAGAACGGCTTACAAACGCCTTTCCCTTCCCCTCCCCACCACAGACACCCTGTGAGGTGGGTGGGGCTGAGAGAACTCTGACACAAACTGCTCTTTTTCAAGGACAGCTGTGCCAGAGCTTGTGACTGACCCAAGGTCACATCAGCAGGTGCAAGTGGAGGAGTGGGGAATCAAACCCGGTTCTCCCAGATTAGAGTCCCCACACTTTACCACTACACCAAACTGGTTCTCTATAGAAGATAAAGCAGGGCCAGCATGGCATACTGGTTAAAGTGTTGGATAAGGATTTGCCAGTCAGGTCTGAATTCCCATTTGCCTATGATTGACCATGGACCAACTACTCTCAACTTAACTTACCTCATAGGGTTGTTGTAAAGATCAAGAGGGGAAAAGATGTAGGCCATTTTGGATCCCCATTGGGGAGAAAGGTAGGTTATCAGTGAAGGAAATAAATAAATAAATAAATGAACAAAGTGCTTAACTAATAGGCAGAAATATCTGGAATCAATGGAAGTCCTTCACAAGGTATCCAGGTCAGAACAAGACCAGGGTGGCCTTCATGCACAGCAGGGCCTTCTCTGTAGTTGCCTCAGAGCTCTGGAATACCTTACTCCCTGAGATTCAATTGGCCTTGCTTTGCAAGTATGCCACTGAGGAGTGAGGACTTTTTAAATCTGTTCACACCCACCCATTTTTATGTCATTATTATTTGACTGTGACTAATGTAGAAGTTTCAGAATGTTTGCAAAGCTTTATTAGATAAAGTTGGAATTATATGGATGTTTCAATTATGTTGTATAAGCAGGGACCCATGAGACTCATGTGGGGAAATCCCGTTCTCTCTTCTCAGTGTCAGCTTCCCCTCCCACAACCCTCTCACCTGCTTGCAGCAGCAGCAGCAGCACTGCCCACCTGGTTCATACAGCAGCAGTGGCAGGGAGAGACAGTGCAGTTCCCACCCCTCCTCCCACCCACCCACCTACAGCAATGCTACCTTCGCTTGCTTACAGTGCTGCCACCTTGCTCTACCTTGTCCTTCTCACATAGCAGGCAGGCAGTGTCCTCTCCTACTTCTTCTCCATCTCCCTCACCTACAGCATTGCTGCTGCCTCCTCCCCTTACCTGGTTCATGTAGTGGTGGTGGGGCAGCAGGGGTACCACTTGCCTACCTGCTTGTGCTGCCACCACCTACCTGTCTCATGTGACGGCCAGTCCCACTCTTCCTCTCCTGCCCACTTCTGCCTCAAAATGGTGGCTGAGATCTTATGAAGTGGCATTGAGAGAGCGCAATATTTTCACCAAAAATTGTGGGTTTTATCCTTTTTTTTCCCCTGCTACCCTATGGGATGCTCCAGGTCTGAAGAGAAATACCCCACTGTCTGTAGCTGGCCTCATTCTCTGGGTCTTTTCATCTGCACAGGGGGCAGGTTCAGAATCAGAGACATGATGCCACTTTGAAATCTTTGAAGACAGGATTACAAAATTGGGAAATAAGTCCCACAGATAGCATGAGGAGAGAAACAGGGACGTGTTGGTCTGGAATTGGGAGTCTCCCTCTTCCTGTAATGTCTAAGTACACTCACCCTTGTGCTGGCAGTACACTGTGTGATCCCCCATTTCCTCTTTAAAATATTGGCTGCCATTGGCAAGGGCTAGAGAAATATGGAAAAATTACATATCTCAATGCTACTGCAAGAGAGCTTTCCATGGGGTTGCTGCTTTCAGTGGAAGCTCCAGACATCAGATAAGGTTTATTTCATTTCGTTTATTTATTTGAAACATTTTTATCCCACCTTTACTGCCTGATACATGTTTTAGTTCCAACCTGATTTCAGCAAAACTTCCACTGGTTCAAGGCTGGTAACTACTATGAACACCAACAACTAAAATAAAAAAACTGGTCCAAAAGGAGACACAGATTACAGGCTACTGTAATCTGTTTCTATAGGCTCAGAGATTAATTACCAGACAAAATATGATATTAAAGTCCACTTCACAAAACACAGGTATGCTACAAGATGGAACATTTTTTTTAAAGTAACTTCTGCATGCAGAAATGGATTAAAGTTATTTGCTGAAACTACAGTTTGTGCTCCGACATTAAAAAGATGAAAAGGAAATGGCAAGGGCAGTCAACCTTTCTCCAACCCATAATCTTTCCTTTTAAGGAAATTCCTGTATTCTGAACTGTGCTGATCTCAAAGCGAAGTATGGAAAGTGAGAGTGGAGTCTGTTTACAACATCTTTTCCATCTCAAAAGCCCCCAAAGGAATGATCTAACAGTTAGTTGGTTTGTTTGATTCTGATGTCATGGTTGGCAGGGACAAGAGACAGCTGTGAGGAAGCTCCTTGCCTGGGATGCCCAACGAACAAGGAGTATCTGACAATGAACTAGTCATGCATAATACATCTTCTTTCCCCCAGACCTCTTCGTAAAAAGATGGAACAAAAATCAGCAAGAGAAGCAAAATCACACCAAATAAAGATAAACAAAGTTCAAAGGCAACACCATCTAATTCTGCAGTGAACTGAACCTCTTGCTGAATTCATACATGCAGTTTTATCTGCCAGTGTTATCAACAATCACCAAATTTAAACATTTTCAAATGAACTGTGAGCTCATCTGCAAATGTGTGTGTGTATCTAATTGTGACTATTGAAGAGATAGATAAGATAGATATTATTGAACAGACCAATCCTAAATGTGTTGAATCCAAAGTCATTCCCTTCAGTCTCATAGTAAAGGTAAGGGTAAAGGTTCCCTTGCTCAAAAGCCAGTCAAATCCGACTCTAGGGTTGCGGTGCTCATCTCTGTTTCAAAGCCGAAGAGCCAGCGCTGTCCGAAGA